CTCGCTAAAAATGTTCAAGTAGGTGAATTATTCTTAGGGGCAAACAAAGTTTAAAAGTGGAAAGAGAAATTTGTCGTCATGTGTTTTAATAGGGACCTTAAGCAACGACGACGACGACGGCAGTGAAAACGTCACTAAAAAATGAATTTGCGCTCTTTAAAACTTAATCGTGTCTATTTGGACCCGCTCAATATGTAAAATTCTCTTCTCTCGATTTTTTTCTGAGGGAGGGGGGACGTCTGTACACAGGCTACGGCAACGGGAACGTCAAAAAAGCAATTGGTTTAATGAGTAAAACAACATCTCTGCACGTGCATCACGCTTTTAGTGTACATTTCTTTGCAGTTCCTGCATAACTAAGACGTAAAATGACCAAATTTTAAGTTTACTTGGGAACGGGAACGGCAAGGCGGTAAATTCTACAATTTCTCGGGGTCAGAACGTGGGCGCGGCCCCTTCTCCTAAGCTCCAACCTAAATTCCCTTCTTTTAAGTAAGTGAGCCTCTTGGAATAATCGGGCAAAAAAGTGAAAGGATGCAAAGTCTATTTTCCAGCGACGTTTTCATAGACGTCGCCGTTGTCGGATCGTAAGGTCCTTAATACGTCCTCAGTAAAACGTGACAAAGGTGATATGACGTTATAGTCGAGCAGTGACGTCAAAGAAGTGTGCAAAAAGCATGATGCATGTGTTGTTGGTTTGCTTATCTAAGCTTATTATTGATTTTTTTTATGTTCTCGTTGCCGTCACCGTCGTCGTTGCTAAAGCTCCGTATTGATTTAGTCCAAACGAAAAGGAAGGCTACATTTCAAGTTGTATTCGCTACGTCGCAAGCGATTAGCCCTTCTATGTAAAAACACAACAAGCTTATCCACCTTGAGCCGTTCTAAACGCTGTCAAGAACGTTGTAAAAAGGAAATTTCTAACCTTGAGGCTGGAATTCTGTGAAGTCCTCAAATATCCCGTCCATATTTCGGTGAGAACACCCTGGCAACTAACATGAGCCATAAATTCCTCGTGTTCGATGGCGTAAGCGAGTGATAGGCAGCTCTGCCCGCCCCAGTTCTTCAAGTTGTAAATGAGCAATTGCTTGGTGCGATCTTTATTAGTTCGAAAGCACTGATCTAAGAAGGCCACAGACAGTCGCTTAAACTCCCTGACAAGATAAAAAGCAGCTCTTAGTTACTAGGAAACTTTTAGCCGCAGGCAGATAGTTATTTGCTTCCAAAGTGAAAAGAAGACCTTACAGTCAAGACAGGTCAAGCGTACCCCCAAGATTCTGTTAATGAATTGGTTATTTGAAAAATGAATCCGTTAGTAGTTCCCGTAACTAGTGTCAAATTCAAATCGGAATTACTGTATGCGTAATGAGCAGTGAATAATTTACGAGAACTTGTCTGTATTAGGTCAGATTGAAAATCTTTGAATGAATGAAAATTCTTAGAAGACATTTACATCAAATTCAGTGAAACTGAGCTGGTAGAAATTTCGTAACTGAATCGCGTGTGAATTCACGGCTCATTACGCATGCAAGAATGTAGAGATGAATCTGAAATCCGCAACTGCCAACCGACTCAGCCTTCGAATAATATATTCATTAATGGAATTGTGGGGGGTGCACTTGACCTGACTTGACTGTAATCATATAAGAATAAGTACAGCGCATACAAAAGAAAAAAAATAAAATTTGGGATAACCACGCTGTTTTCAAAGATAATTTAATCGAAACCTTGTTGTTTTTCATTGATTAAAAACTGAATAATTGAATATTAATGGAAATCTAGAGTCTTGATAAGCTTATATGGCTGTCACCGTATAAGAGCACTATACCATGCTTTACAAATGTGGTCAGTGTACGCATCTAAGACGTATGCATTATTTTGCAGAGTGGCCGAACGGTTAGAGCGCTGGACTTGTAATTCAGAGGCCCCGAGTTCAAGTCCCGCCCTGACCGTCAGCTGGATTTGTTCACGGTAGTTCCGAGTTCAAATCCTTGGCCACGCTTGTAAATAGCCAGCTGGTTTGCCTCAGGCCAGGGATTCTTAACCCTGTTAAGTTCAATTTGAATTATTTGTTTCAGTCATCTGCTCGACCCCAGTAGCATAAGTGCTATAAATACTGCCGAGGGTAAATATTATTATTATTATTATTATTATTATTATTATTATTATTATTATTATTATTATTATTATTATTATTATTATTATCATCATAGTAAGTTACGGTACGGCTGGGAAATAACGGACGCGCCCATGACCTGCGCATGGGGTGTTCAATTTAGCGTGGATCACGCAATGGTGTGTCAGCGCGGTGGGTTTGTTATCCAGGGCCATAACGAACTGCGCGACTTGGAAGCAGAGATGCTAAGGATGGTCTGTAATGATGTGGAAGTAGAGCCGGTCCTTCGGGAGGTCGCTGGGGAGACATTAAATCATGGCGCTAACAAAGCCCCTGATGCCCGTTTGGATATTCATGCTCGAGGCTTTTGAGAGAGACAGAGATTTGCTTTCTTCGATGTTCGGGTGTGTCACCCTAATGCAGACTCTTACAGAGACTTGACTCCTAAGCAGATCTACAAGAAGCATGAGAACGAGAAGAAAAGGCATTATGCGGAAAAAGTAATGAAGATCAAACAGGGAACGTTCACTCCTTTAGTTGTCACGACCACAGGTGGATGAGTGTGTTAAGTACCACAACAGACTTGCGGAGCTGATCGCAAATAAGAAGGGAGAAAGTTACTAAACCGCAATTTCCTAGATAAGAACTAGTCTCTTTCGCCATAGTACGCTCTGCGATACTATGCTTGAGAGTTTCAAGATCCAGAAGACGACAGCTAGACCTTGTTGACACAGATTTACAGATCGAAAACATTAGAGCCTGCCTCAATTATTATTGTTATTATTATTATTATTATTATTATTATTATAGATGACCCACGCTCGGGTAGCTAATCGGAACGCAGGATTCACTTCATTTTTCCCTCGGAGGATTCAGCCATACAGTAAAACAAGTTATCAGCGGACTCTAAATGTCGAGGTTATATTCGCAACACTTACTCAAAATTCGCTGTGAGTTCGTCAGTGACATCCGCCTTTGCGTCATCGCGGAGTGTCAACCTTGCCATCAGCTTGTACACCTTTCCTGCTATGAGAGCACGCGCCAGATTCTTTTCCCCTCGCTCCCACATGAAAAGCGCCATTTGCTGCATGTTGCTGAGTACGGACCACAGAAGCAATGCCTCGTAAGGGTCGTCTTCTATGCGTTTTCTCTAAAAAGAGGCGAATTAATTACCTTCTTCTCTACCACAGAACTTAGAAGACTCGAAAATTAAACAAGGTTCATTTGAGAAGCATCCTAGCATTTGAACTTTGTCATAAACTGAACCGTACATATCAATGATTTACAAAATGGCAAAACATTGAAGCCCTTTTTTAATTTAGACTGAATATACGGTTAAAAGAACATACAATGATTTTCCCTTGTTGGCTTTGTCGGGAAATATTGAAATTATTTCTCGTTGTACTCTTGAGGGTAGTGTTTCGTCTCTATGAAGGAAGAGGCGTGGGATTTTCCATGCACAGTTTCACAAGTATTTCGACATCTTGGAGAGCCATGGGCAGTTAGTTGTAACGGGATGGTTATGGGAGAAGTGGTTAGGGGCTTTTCTCTCGGGAGTTAGTAAAACACCCACTCGGGGTCGGGGGTAGTGCTTTTAGTTTCGTTTCACAGTGATGGGGATCCTGTGCTGCTCTAGATAGCTAAGAGAAACTAGAAACTCATAAGGGCTTGAAACATGTAACTCTAACATGTGCTCGTGAATATTCATAGTTCTCAAGTACTGTATTTGGAAAGAGAAGAAAAGCTAACTGACCAATCAAACTTTGTAAACGACGTGACGAAATTTTACTCCCCGTCAAATTCGTCGTTGCTTAAGCTCCCTAATGGCCGAAAGAAGGGAGAAAAACCTTATGATAATGACCTGGAGTTTACAGAAAGGCTCATAACTTTGACTGGAATTCGTTGTTTCCTCTTTGTAATTTTATTGTACAGTTTATGCAATTACAGAACCTACGTACACTTTATTCGCACTAAGATTTAGAGAATTGAATTTTATTGTCTATTGAACGAATCATTGCAGAAGTTGAGTTCCTACCACAAGACACATGTTGTCGTCTCCCTGGTGAGTACCCCATAAATGTGGCCATAAGGCTTCTATTACATCTAAAAATTTGAAGCCTTTGTCAATCTGCAACGAATAGCATTCCAGTCTTATACAAGTGACAGTTTATTATACTAGTTAATGCCAGAGTTAATCTTAAAATATATGTTGGGGGTCTATGTTGAAACACTAAGACTGTTACCTTGTCTTTTCCAATGAGTTCTTCAAGAACGACCCTCGATGGTAATCCCTGCCTCTAGAGCGGAAACACAGAAAGACGATTGGAATGTTCAGAGAATTCAATGTTTAAAATAATAGAGGGTTTAATTTTTACTGAGGCTGTGTTGCTGCGTCAGAACGAAACGTTAAACTATTTGGAATTATTAGAGATCAATTATTAGAAGAGCTCAATTACTCCACTACTACTTTTAAATAAAATTTAGTAATTTCTCCCGTATTTGGTTAACTTATGTTCACTAAACCTGACTCAATTAACATTTGGAAAGGAAGGTATTTTAGTCGGAAGGACTCTAGTGGTTGTTTAAGTGGATTGTTTAGAGTACTCCCCTACATGTTTTAAACGTGTAACTCAGCCACCGACTCTGTGGTTGATTTGTTTAAGCCCGTTTTAGTGTTGTTTCTGTTGAGCTTTGTGAGGCGGATAGTCCTCCTCCTGACAAAGCTAGAGCTAATAGCTAGGGAGTTGCTCTATAATTGCTAGCATGTCTTCTCTCCTTAAGATAAGACCACGGTACAGCGGTGAAACAAGGGACCTTACGATCAGACAACGGCGACGTCCATGAAAACCTCGCTGAAAAATAGACTCCGCATATAAGTTTCAAACCATTTCAAGATTATCCCAAGTCGCCCAGTTAATTAAAAGAAGGGAATTTATGTTGGAGCTGAAGAAACGGGGCCGCCCCCGAGTTCAGAAAGGGATGGTAGAATTTATCGCCTTGCCTGTCCTGTCCTCAAAACAACTTAAAATTTGGTCCTTTTACGTCGTAGTCGTGCTTTGACGGCAAAGAAATGTACAAAAAAGCGTGATGCACGTGCAGAGTTGATGCTAAACCTATTGCTTTTTGACCTTGCCGTCGCTGTCGCCGTCGCCATCTTAGTTTTGTAAGGTCCCTAATAAGTTAAGACGAGTAATGGCTCCTCGACCGGACAGCGGCTCCGTCGCAGCTTTACATAAAAGCATGATGAAATGAAAGGGACGTTAGTATAACAACTCCAGCAGGGGAGGGTGAAAAAATACAAATGCTCTTGGTCAAAACTTATGTCCTTATTTCCGTTAACCGAATGGCAGCAACAGTGAAGGATCCTTTACCCTTTCTCAAGCTAATGAAATGTTTAGTGGCTCGATATGATTTTCTGCAATAGATCTAGCCTCTGGTTCCTGGCAAGTGGCCGTGGATCACGCCTCTAAGGAAAAAGTGGCATCTTCCGTTTAGACTAGGTTTATGAGTCCAAGGCTCTTAGGGGCATTTTTTCTAATTATGTCATTTGTGGAGGTGTATAATATCAGTTTCAATATGTCTTCACGAGATGGCTGCACAACCAAGGGTTTTGCATTTGAAGAGAACGGACTGAGTACTCTCCTTCATGACCTATTGCATAATACGGCTGTATTGGAGTGTTGTGTTAGAGCGTTTCCGAAAGCAGATTCAAACGCTTCTCTTCCCAAGTTTTCTCTATTCCACTTCCATTAGTGGCAACCACCAACCCATCCCTGTACGACTGACATAAGCACTGGCCAGAAGTAACGTAAAAACAGGAGAGTGATACGTCTGAACAGCAATGATTTGGAATTAATGAACGTCGTCATGTGTTGTACTTACGGTCACTGCCTCGAAAAGGTTATTTAACCGATCTGTAGTCAGGAACTTCTTCATACTGACACCTTTTTCTAAAAGAAGATCTACAAATTCCACACGATTGTTGATTAAAGCGTCCTCCATCTTATCTTCCAAGGTCTCCATCTGTTGGATAAGCCAGCACAAAGCAAATGGTCAAGATAAACTACTGAATGCAACCTTAGTTTAACTAAGCGATCGATATGATTAAACTATGTTCCATCAAAACTGGACGTCATTTGTATTCCACACGCTGAAAGACTGGGCTTCCATTTTAGTGAATTAGTCTGAAGATGGATCTTTAGCATTTAACAATTTGTCCGGCTTTCGGAGCAAATATTTGGCAAAACAAACTTGTCGAGTGCCATTATATGCAAATTAGTAACTAAAGATAAATAACACGCCACTATTGGAGACGTCACCGAGAGTATTTCGCATTTGCGAAATTTTGCTCTCGAAGGAGCGCAATAATTTTGTTTATTACTCATTCAAAATATTTCCCCAATTCTGATTGGCTAAAAGCACACGCATAATTCACCATAACTAGTTACTGATGACCAAATTTGGATGAAGTTTGTGTTTAACGAGGAAATGACGTCAAAAATGCCTTCTACAGGTTAATGTACCGTTAACCGAGATGACCTGGGGACGAGATTGAGTTGTTTTTGTTTAACTAAAATGGCGGACACTTCACTCGTTTCAAGAGTAAGAACTACAGCTGGAACTAGGCGAAATAATGGCTAAAACATAGCAAAAAAAGCAAGAAGACAACTCTGAGGGCGACATCTGCTATTTGGAGAATATTTGTGGAGCTGGACAAACCTAAACGTAAACTACCGACGATAAACTTAGCATTGATGCAGGTAAGCTTGTTTTAGCTATGTTTTTAAACTAGGGATTATTTTGAATGAATAATAAAACAATTATTGAATTCGGCTTTCGTATCATATGAGGAATTATGGAGATCGAGGAGGGTGTTATCCGCCTCGGCCTACGGTTGAGCTATCAACATAGGAGGAAATATATTACTGCGCTAAATTTTTCCCAGCCGCCCTGTTAACTTAACTACCTTAACTGGATAAGCTAAGGGACGGCCTGCCGAACCGCTCGGTCGCAGGGTGTGGTTCAAACCTCTGAGTTTTAAAATTACTCCCTCTCCTTTGGCAACTAAAGATGGTTAGACGTTGTAGTCTTCTCGGATAACGACGAAAACTCGTAGGCTTGGTCTCTCCACTCCTCTACTGTTCTGGTTGTTGTGGGACGTAAAGAAACCACACTATTGTTTGTTAAGTCCGTGGTAGGGGGCGTAGACCCCGGCGGTGTGGACAACCTTTTATGGGCTGGTTTGGTAATAAGGGGGTGATATCAGTTAGGACGTGAGTCCTCTTTCATCCCCTGTCCCTGTTACTGTCGCCACCAAGAGAAATGTTCTACATCTTCCTGGGGATCAACTAAAGAGGGATTAACTTACTTCTCGATATTCAGATTGGACTCGTCAAAAAAACTAACCATCATCAGCATTTCGCAGCACTGATTAAAAGTCATTTCTGACTGACCGAAATTTGGGGCAAAAAGTACTCTATTTTAGCTGTACGATCAACTAGCATTTTTCGTGTTTTGAGTTTCAAGGAGACAAGTCTAACGTTTTTTAAAATTCCTTCGGTCCTTGTCAATTACAAAATAACCTTCAATAATATACAGATTTAGCCAGGGCCCAAAGCAAAGCTCTGGCTAATAATACTGATGAAGGGAGACGACAATTAGCAAAAAAACAAATTGCACGTGCAGCACACTTTTTCTTCTAATTAGCAAAAAGCAAATTTGCACGTGCAGCACGCTTTTTCTCTTTCCCTTGCCGTTGTTTTGCACCACTACAAGGCTGTTTTGTACCACTAAAACGGCAAACGTCCTAGTTACACATTATTTTTATGGAGGAATTGTCTTATGTGTTTACCCAATATTTTATTTCCTGTGTTCATGTTCGCGTTTATTTTTCAGCGCCGCTCATTTTCACCTTGCTGGCCGCTAGCATTTCTCATTTTCTCACCGCTGCTTTGACTTTCCTATTTTTCTCTCTACGAAATTCGTCTCCGTTGTTTTCAATAACTCGCTCTAGCTCTTTCTCTGTTATCCACGTTAGTGTAAACATAAAAAATAACGCCGAAAAAGACACGACTTTGTTGTTTTTTTCTTTCTAAAAGTCGGGGCGGCCATGTGATTTCGTTCCAATTAAAACGTTGAGTTGCATTTGGGTTGCCATACCTGTTGATTGAGTCATTTTGCATTGTTATGCCTGTGGTGCGGACGGACGGTCGGTACCACATTTCCTTAGCTATGGGGCTCCGCCGTGGAGTTCCGTGGAGCTCCGCTAAGACAAGAATTTTCATACCGAGCTTACATTTGTGTCTAAGCCTCCCACTGTGCTTTTCGGTTTTCTATCAAGTGTAATTTCTTGGCCCTCACCTGGTCAAGTACAAAAATGTAATGCAACAACAATATAAACTTGCACGATTACACCCATACCTTCCACTTTTGGTCTTTAGTAAAGATCTCAGTTCTAGCAATATCAGCTCGGTTCCATGTCAAGGCCAAATCAAGCTGGTAAGAAGGCGAAGCACTTTGCGCTGCAAAAGCAAACGAATAATAGCCTCATCTATTTTTTCTTTCAATAATGAAATGACTAATCACTTTATTTTCCAGGTCCAGCAGAATTAAGTATCGTTTCGGTCTTGCTAAAATTTGAAAGGAACAAAGAATACACAGCATGATAGCAATTAATGCCATTGTTATTACCGTATCCTCTAACGAAAATGAAATGGCCTACCTCATACTGTCATACATTGTAAATAACTGCTTAAAAAGTGCTTTCAAACCTTTCAAAATAGCTTTTAAAATCGACTTGTCGATGTCAATACCATCGTCGTCCATATGGAATATTGTGATCTGTAGGAAGGACGTTGAACAGCTAAGTAAACGAGTGGCACTGACAAAATTCTTCTTGTTATATTTTTCCCTTAAATGTCAACTTTCTCTGAAAAAGCTTGACTACAGTATGTTGCCCAGTATCCGGCCGGTACCAGTATCCGGCCTCTTAAAAAAAGACTCAATTTTTGCAGCGCCCTTTTTAGTTTTCGGTAAACGAAGTATTTCGAATGGAAGCTGAACACAAGTTGGTTTACTGCTTGAGAAACTGTTGCAGAAGGCGCTGTTCTGTTCAGGTGAGTAAACTTTTCATGGACGCTTTTTACTACGCAGTAAAACTAGTGCTGTTCAAATAAGGGTTGGTAATATGTGATATTTTCAAAGAAACTGTTTTGTATTTAACGTAAAGATACTTAAAGAATTCAGGTTGTCAGAAAATTCATTAATTCTTCTTGAAATTCAATTTGTTTGGAATAACGGAGGCCAGATTGAGAAGCATTCACTAAGTATTGATTTCCCTTGCAGTGCAGAGTCGGTGAATTAGCTGCATACAATATCCGAACAAGATTTGTTTCATACCTATAACTATAATTAAAGCTTAGGATATATAATATAATCTGTATAATGTAATTCTCGGTACTCAACCCTTTGGAAATTTTCTTCACTCATTCAGAGGCGAACTGATTTCGTGTGCACGGCTTGTTTCGCGTTGCTGCATTTTCTATAACCGGAAGCGCCGAAATTGTACCCGGAATTCTCATACAAATCCCCCAGTTGTGACTGGTAGAATCACAGGTAGCCCAAGCTCGAAATATGAGCATCGGCATTGTTGCGTAACATTCAAAATATAAGGATTTGAATGGGAAAAAGAACCTATCGTTTCTGTAATCTACGAAAATGAAAGGATTTCAATAAAAAAACAGCTTACCTTACTTAAAATGTGTGTTAAGTCTCTCCTGTGTGGTCCACGGGCCGATTTATGGCCGTTTTATGGGTTTTTATGTAAACGGTTTTCTGTCTATATAAAGGTTGAGGTAAGCTGTTTTTTATCGAAATCCTTTCATTTTCGTAGGTTACAGAAACGATAGGTTTTTTCCCCATACAAATCTTTATATTTTGAATGTTACCCGACAATGCCGATGCTCGCCGACGCTCATATTTCGAGCTTAGGCTACCTGTGGTAGAATGGGGTTGCAACGGGTCTAAAAAATTCCCCAGAGGGATTGAGAGATGTGAAAGTAGGAGAAATTAGTGCTAGAAAAGCAGCCCAAGTGTGGGGACTGAGCATGAAGAAATGAACACTGCAGGTCAGACAAAGAGCTCTGATCTCTTATGGCTCTTGGTCAGACTAAGTAGGAGAGTGACCTTAAATTGACCGTCGGAAAGGCCCTTCTCCAGGTTTTTTTTTTTAACAAAAAATGAAAGAAAATAAGATCCAGTTCGCAGATTGGCTGATTGAGCTTGCAAACCGCGGCTTTGGCTTGTCCACGGATGCGTTCCTTAAATCAGTGAAAAAGTTCCTAGACAAGGAAGAAAGAATTATACCATTTAAGACAGCAAGCCAAGCTGAGGTGGTTTAAGAGTTTCATCATTTTTTTATTCCTTCCCCTTTTATTAAATTATCTCCCAGTATGCAATTTTGATTCAAATTTCTTGCGTTTCAATGAACAAACGGGCATTTCCTGTGAGAGTTCCCTGCAGTGGCCACACCATCAATCCGCTGGAGACGGTGTGGTTAATTAGACCATGTTGACAAGTGCGTGTCGCAGTGTGAAGAAATGGCACGAAAAACACTTACTACAAATTAACATTTCAAAGTATTTTATAGGGAAAAAAATTGTGTTTTTGTTAGTTTCTGTTTTCATTTTTTCTCTTCGCATCTCCAACCTTGATCAGCCGCTTGCGTAATTTTCCCCGCACACCCCAGTCATTTTGTTTCACGATGCTAGGTTCCCAGACTACTTTGCAAGTGCAAGAGGAGCTTATAAGTCACTTGCCTGTCGAAATTACATGTATATATTGTAATTACGTTGTTATTGTTGTGGCCGGATACTGGGCAACATAGGAGCTCCGCAAAAATATTAATTTCTCGATGGAAACGAAGGTAAAAAAGTAAACTGTCTTTCGTCATATTAAGGATCGACTAAATAGATTGTCTCTGGGCCAAATTTCAAAATTCGTGCGATCATGAAAGGAAAGTTATTGTAATGTTAAACTGAAGTGTCCGGATACTGGGCAACATACTGTAAGACGAATCTGGGATGAGATACCCAGCATAGATCATGACATTTATTTGAGATTCACAAAAAAGGCTAAAACAATCTAAAATTATTCGTTTTCTCAACTTACATACTGACTTTTCTTCACGCATTCAAGTACATTATAGTAACACTCAAACCATTCCTTTTCAGAGCTCTTTGGGAAGGCTTTTTCGATTCTCAGTTTAAGTATTTCGTGCTCTGCAACCTCAGGAAAGTGCTTCATATCAAACCTGTCAACATAGCAAAAACCGTGTGAAGTGTTAAAATGTGTTTTGTCTTTTAGCCAGAGCTTTTCGATGATTCCTCCCTCAAAGAAACTCATAGTCTTAAGACTCTGAAAACATGATTGCCACCAAATCTTTAGTGGCATGATTTCAAGGTATATCCAATTTTTAGAAAAATTTTGATAACACACTGAGCCTGGTTTGAGTAAATGTACAGTCCAACAATGACCGGTTAACGCAACTGCCATGCCTTCTCATGCCTTCTGGACATAAAAAGAAAAAACATTATAAGAAGGAATACGAACCCTTCATTTGCTTTATACAGCGAGTAGGCATATGCTAAAATATCAGCGGCTCTGCCGCTACCATCCGCAATGACTACAGGCACGGCAGGAGTCCTTGTAACTGACTCTAACACTGTGCGAATAGCGTTCTGACCTCCCTCAAGGACAACCAGTACCACAGGAATACCATTTGACTTGCTCTGCTGAGAATTTTCATCTAAATAGTTTTAAATAGAGAAAGGACGTTATTCTTCTAAAAAAAAGGAAATAAAAAAGGGGTAGTGGTAGTAGTAGTAGTCGTTCACTTCAGGCCTTCCCCCCACTTCCTTTTGCAAAATTCGCGTATCAGTGGGAGTTACGAAAAATTGTTTTGCGTGACTTTTAAACGTGACATTCTAGAAGCTTCGCGAGAGTTCGTAGTTTGTTTATTTTAGGATCTTGCGTAAGCGTTTCTAAAGCGGTATATTTTGTTATTTTTCTATAATTAGACTATTTAGAAAGTTCTAGAACTTTATTGTAAAAGTATATAAGTAGGCCAGTTCGAGTTAATTTTTAACTAGTTTTCACAAGCGAAGAGAGTTTGACGTTGGTCGTGTTTAGTCAAGTGTGACGAAGGCAGTGTTAATTCAAGTTGGCGGAGGCCGTGTAAGTTTATCAAGTTAATCGAAGTTGGCGAAGGCCGTGTAAGTTATCGAGTTACGTGCTGTTGTGGAGTTTTACTTCGTGGAAACTACGTTCATTTTTGGAATAAATCTTCTTGTTGCTGTTCCGACAACCCTGCGTTCAGTTTGGTTTGCAAGCTACCCGTCCTCTAAAGGCTGGTTTTCACTAGCGACGGAGTCGGAGTCGAAGTCGTAATCAGAAGAGTAGAGCTTATGATCTAGTGAAAACAGCGTTCCGATTCCGCTTACGACTCCGTCGCTTACGTTCCGCTTATGTTCTAGTGAAAACCGGATTGTAGGAGTCGGAAGCAGAAACAGAAGAACCAAACCAATCACAAAGCGTGGGAACGTGCATTCTGATTGGCATTCTGATCGGAGTCGGAAGAAGAAGCGGAAGGATAAGCCAATCAGAATGCACGTTCCCACGCTTTGTGATTGGTTTGGTCCTTCCGCTTCTTCTTCCGACTCCGACAATCTGTTTTTCACTAGATCATAAGCGGAACGTAAGCGACGGAGTCGTGAGCGGAGTCGGAAGAAAATGGAAACGTTCTGATTCTTCTGACTCCGATTCCGTCGCGCTTATGACTCCGCTTACGACTCCGATTTTTGATTTTCACGAGGTCAAGCGCTCTTACGACTCCGCTTACGACTCCGACTCCGACTCCGTTGCTAGTGAAAACCAGCCTTTAAAAGATTACCCACGTAACAGTGGGGGAGCTATTCCAAATACGGATTCATCTTCTTAGCAACGTAGATGTTTACAACGATGTATTCACAATCCCTGTAATATGGCAAAAAGCAAACCATCTCAACTGGCAACAAGTAACGTGGGTCGTTGCAAAAAACACGAATTCTTGACAGACTTTTGAAAGAGAGCTTGAGCCTCGTTTCATTGTGGTGACGAAAGTTAGAAACAATAATCCCAAAATGAATCTCAAATGTCCATGAATGCGGTAGAAGCTCTCAATTGCTATCATGGGCTTGTGAGAGAGTGCTATATTGAACAAAAGGAAAACGACCGCGCAGGTATTGTAAAAAAACCTATCCAAACGACTGTTTCGGGGTGACGTTGCACATCGATTACGTTAAAGACTATTAGAAAAAAAACTGAACCTCTTACCATTTGACTTGCTTTTCTGGGAATTTTCATCTAAATTCTCGGTTTGCACTGTCAAGCCATGAAAAATAGAAATGCAAATCATTCAATACAGAAAGTCAAGAATCTGGGAAATGAAAGAAGATAATATAGGCTTTGCTAAGAATCAGGTCTGTGCAATATGTTAGACGTGAGATATTCGGAAAAACGTTTTACCCAAATTTCTAAAGCTTTGCATGGAAACCCCGTGTTGGTGTCCCTGAAAGGGACTCCAATATGGCCGCCGGAAGCTAACAGAAACATACATCATGTATCTTTCCGAGTCTTCCTACTAATGCGTGAATTCTTCGCTTGAGGAACTTATAAATATTAAGTAATACTTATTCTGAGACAAGAAATGTTTAGATAGCAAAATCTCTCAAAATCGGTAACGTTTTTAACCCACATAAGAGCTTTCCTGGCCGTCAGCTAAATGCCGCGTCACGCAAAAGCCTGGAAATCCAAGCGTCCTCTCTCGCAAAACGAAGAACCCTTTCGAACCAAAAATTTTTTATATAAAGGTGCTGAGGTGCTGTAATACCTCGCACATCGATTACGTTAAAGACTATTAGAAAATTAGATTACTTTTGGAAATCTCTTTATTTGATAAGCAGTTTTGAAGTCTTGCACGGAATGCGATCTCTCCTCCGTATTTGCCTTCAGTGCCATCGTCCACCAGCAAAAAATGTGAATGATTGTTGTCCATACACGATCCCTGGATCTCTAAGCTTGACGTCATGTGATATGTAACAACATCCTGGGTATAAAAAGATAATGAGTGTACTGTCAACTCGCTGTTGACCCACCACCTTTGGTTCAGGAGAAAGTTTTCGCTGACGGAAGATGGTCGTTTGCCAGAAAAATCAAGAAAACACGCCACAAACGAAATGAATCCACTAATTATAATTGTTATATAGCTGGAAATGTTTTCGCAACCGCGTGCACTCTTATTGTTTACTTCGAGGTCACATGAAATCTAATACTAAAACAGTTTCCCGCCAAAATCTCTGAGCGGGTAACATTGAAAAATCTATGACGTCAGAGGGTAACAGTGCACCGTTACCCGCGAATGTTGACCGACGACAGCTGTTCCTGCGAGAATTAATGAATTTTCTGCTTCAAAAATTCCAGCTGTATAACAACTCGCTTAAGGACTGGTCCCGCGGGAAACAGTTAATTTTGTTTCCCTCGAATCTCAATGTTTCCCGAGGCCGATTCTGGGGAAACAAAATTAACTGTTTCCCGAGGGAGGAGTCATTAAGAGTTTATTATCTACTGCTTTATAAACTGAGCAGCCACTCTTTATTAACTACTTAAGTTGAAGGAAATGTCAAGCTCTCTTAAGAGAAACATATAAATCAGGCATAACATACTAGTTGCTTATTATTGGTTTGCACCTGCGAGTTTGGTTCGTGTAGGTGTTCACAAATTTTGATAAACAACGCCACGCTAATTTGTACTATAATTACAATTGCAATTTTATATATCTAAGTGAAAAACAGGTTTCCCTCCAGAAAACAAGACACAAAGAAATTTTCACATTTCTGGACTCGAAACCGTTCGCTTATGAAATTTGAGGAGTGGAGAGTTTTTAAACAGTGTTTGACTGCGAAAGACTCTAAGGTTATTTGCAAAGTGGTCGCCTACGGATAGTCGTATGCACTATTCTTGTCAACCATGTGGATAGTTTCAAGGCAAGAGCGTCTGATTGGCCATTTTGAAGTGGGGACTTGAGCCTTTATGGTTGGCTTTCCCCCGAATTGCATTGTGGGACTGTTTTGAAGACGCTATCCACTTTTATTTGGGAGGTAAGATGTGACGGCTACCACGGCAACGAGAACGTCAAAACGCTATAGGTTTAACAACAACTCTGCAAGTGCCAACTCGATTGCAAGGCACTCTTTTTCTTTAAGCGTACCTTCCCTATGTTGATATGTAATTCTTTGAAGCAAACGCTACCGGATGACCGGTCTATGGAAGAGCTGGGCCTAATCCTCTTTCACTGGCACTACACTGGAAGATGACATCTTCATTGCAATTAGTACTTGAGTATGGGGTGGTTGACTACAAGCTTCTTAATTTTCTGGAAAGCTGCTTTAGGCTATTAAGACCGTCTAATTTGTCGTCTTTAATTGTTACGTCTTAGAGGCTGTGCTATACTTATGCAAGTCTGGGAAACCATAAGAGTTAATTGATGAAACCAAGGAGAATTAGAACTTCCTGCTTGCACTTTGGCTGGGGCATTTCCTCTACGACTTTCACTTTATCAGGATCTGGTTTTAGGACTGCTTCCTCTTCCCTTTCGCCAAATCCCATAACTATGATGTTGTCCCTGAACTTTTCTCTTGTGGGTTACTTTCCAAATTATTCTGGAGAAAGGCTTCCAAAGGGCATGCTGAGATAGCGATGGCAGAAAATGGAAATCCAAAACTTTGTTAATTTGCTGATGGCTTCGTAAAGACTGATTTGGTAAAAGCCATCTTTCTCGTTTTGTTTTCCTGAAGATTCTGTCTTTGGACAGCTTACAATAGGTAACAGTTCCTGAAGTGCAGGAATTAGGTATTTAGGACGCTGAATTACCTTGTTCAGTTCTTGAGGCAGGGTCTAAGCATATTCGTATTTTACCGGGCTTGATTGCCACTACCACATTGCTGATTTGTTCCTTTACGTTTCTTTCTAGATCTATGAGCTTTGCTTTCATTCATTCTTTTGGGGCTACATCTAGAGGTGTGCCGTGCTGGAACTGTTGAAAGATCAGGTACAAAGCTGAACCTGAACCAATATGTCCAAGACCTTTGAAGAAATCGCCAATAATCTTTCAGCCGTACACTTTAAACTGTCAAGAGAGCTGTTTTGTCATACAAGACAAGAACTTCAGCCTGAGATGGTAACTTGAGAAGTTTCAATTTTTGAAAGGTTTCTGCAGACAGTAAAGTCTTATTTGTTTCGCTAGAGACTTGAAACTTGGGAAAATGCGAGCTTCCACCATGTGAGACTTGCAGGAGGACTTCGTCAAAAGGCTTCAGGCAGCCGTGAAATAACTTAAGCTAGGTTTTGCCTTTTTCCATGGGAGGGTTGCCTTCTTGCTTGATAATCGATGTCTCTATTTAACAAATAGATTCAATGTTGCCGCGCGTCTGTTCAGTAATAGATCACAGATGACGTCAAAATGTGGTAAAAACAAAGAAGTGGCACACGAGCCGCAGGCGAGTGTGTCACTGATATTTTTACCACATTGTGACATCCTCTATAATCTATTACTGAACAGACCCACGGCAACATGGAATCTATTTGTTTTATACAATGATCAGAAAAGAAAATAGACCGATACACATACCTGCTGTTCAAGGATTTGTTCTGGTTTAGGCAATTTTTAAGTCCGCAAGCGCTACTTTTCGTCTCTGCTTCTTCTTTTTTTCTTTATCTTACTTGCAAACATTTTCTTCGAAAAGTTCAGTTTTCAACTTCTTTTCCTGCTTAAAGCAGAATATTGGCGAAAACATTTTGCAAAACAGCGAGTCTCTTGTAGCGATGACACACGATGGCAACTGTTGTGAAGATTTCTTGTAGGTTTGGGGATTCTTAAGTACTCAAGAGCTCTTTTTGTCCCCTTTTCTCCATTTTTCTTTTTTGTAAATAGCTCCTGCTCATCTTTTTTCGAGGCTTTTACTTGCTTTAACCCGAAATAATCTCACTAACATTTTTAAAACCGCGCCCCATGTTGAACAAAACAAAGAAAACAAGTTTCCCGTGACGTCATCTATGTATCTGTACTCGGATAGATCATAGGCAACGACCAATCACAGCGCGCGTAGCATTCACATCATTGTATAAAGTTGAGTACATTACAGGTCGCACCTAGCTTATTGTGTTCACAAAAGAAGCTGAGCCTGCAAACAATCGATAACCACAGGACTCTACATACGAAGTGAGAGTCTGAGAAACTGGGCTATCGTGGCTTTCTTGTAAGTGTTTAACGCGGGTACCTCATCTTTCTTCTTGGCCATACACACGCTTCAAAATGATGCTATTTGTGACCGTATTTTCGGTTGTATGCCGGTTTTGTTTGTGTTGGTTACCACAATTTTTGTACCTCTAATTGCCAAGTCGTCTTAATTCTGGTAGGGAAACGTTTTTTCCCTTGTTTGTTTTTGCTGCCATTTGGCTGCCTCTTGGAACCCTTGGCTTTGACATAGCTGCCAACTGACTCTCGTTTGCTTTGCCCATAAGAGTTAAAGACATACCGTTCCTAAGAAAAGGTTGCCTTAAAGTTTGAAATAGTTTTCCAACGCGGTCATGCATGTTTGCACATTATTATTCTTGGACCTGTCGGAGATTCAGGATAGTTTAGACCAGCTAGCTTCAATTTATGTTTTTAGGTTCCCACTTGTTCCCTTTATTAGCATTATTTATTTATTTACCTATTAATTTTTCTTTCACACGACCTCTCAGAATCTCACTATTGCAAAGTCTGTTTCCTATTTAAAGACTTGTTGTTGTTGTTCCACGCTCAAGAGACAGGCGAACATAATATCTTCCTCGTGTGCGCTACTAAGTGCCTTTTAAAATGCTTCTTACCTCTCCAATCAACTCAGACCTGTGCTCTACAATGCCCCATGGAGCGATTCCGATCAAGTGCACTTGAGACGTTTTATCTGTGAGCATTGCCCCTCGTGACATTACTGTATGACCCTTTACTGCTTCTCCTACGTGACGCATTACGCCGGTGTTTGTCCCCCCTGTTATAATCCATGCACCAGTGGTCTTGGCTGCCTGTGCAAAAAATTTTGAAGAGAGGTTAACAGTTAAGTTTAAGAAGTTATTATGGATGCAGCCTTTCTACGCTTATTTTTCTTTACTTTGGGTACGTGTGTTCGAAGTCACGAACTTTTTCAAAACCTTCAATTCGTTCTTTCTAATGTTAAACAAGAGACCATCAATGGGTACCCTTTCATGGTGTCTTGTGATGATAAAGGCAGACTAATCCTTTCAGGTGCTAAGGAAAGGGACCTTGGTTAGTCATGGAGTGAATCACGTGTATAATGGGCTGCTGTCGATAAGTTTCGAAAAGCGTCATAATCTATCCGGGCTCTGCACATGAAAGATTTTCAGAGTATTCCCTAAATGATCTTGAACTTGCTCAATCTTTACAGCATCGTTTTAAAGACTAAAATCTTATTAGGCTGAGGACAAAGGCACTAAGGCTCCATACACTTAAGGCTTGGGATGTTCACATGATTTTAATAATGATGTTTTTCAGTTTCATCTAGAACCTCTTTTTGTGCTACAGTCGAACCTCCGTGTGCGACCACCTCTCGCGACGTAAGTGCCCACCTCCCATAAGCGACCATCTATTCAAAACACCGAAGTTTTCCCCGCGTGAAAGCTCTATAGTTAGAACTCACGTAAACGATCACCTCCTATAAGCCACCTCGACCACTTTTTGGCCTGACGGTCTTATAGTTTTCCATTGTTTTTCACCTCTTGTAAGCGACCACTTGGTGAATGTTGCGGCGTCTTTTTGTCCACTGTATGTTTGCGATAAATTCTCTGCCTTTTTCAAAAGAGACCAAGAAATCCTCTAATTTTGAATGGTTGCTCGGGGAGGTTTAGCCTGTTCCAGGCTCCGAGGTTGTCGGGTCCAAGAAGTTGAGAAGGCGCGAACACGAAAATAAAACGGGAGGAAAATTGGGAGAAGAAGGTCGTCTCCCTTCCTCTCTCTCCATTCTTTTCTCCGCCACCGCCCCCTTTTCCCAGATCACGCGCTCACAATTTCCCTTGCCTTTTACTTATGCGTCATCCCACTAACGGAGATCCTGGAACAGGCAAGGGGAGGTTTGAGTATATTAAATTAATTCAGAGAAGATCATCACAGTGAAATACGCAACTTATGTAGTTGCGAGAAGAAACGGTCAAAAAATGCAGGCTTGCCGGGATTGGAACCCGGGATGCGTTACCGGTGCAGCACTCTAACCAATTAAGCTATAAAACCAACTGGGAGCTGGTTATATGATAAAAATATTAAACGTCAAATGAACCAAAAAATTGACATATTTTCTTTTGTCGCTTTACCTTCACCAAACACTAAAAAGAACCATCCTAAGTGCGATTTGGGTGAAGATTTTTCTTCCCAAGCCTTTATAGAAAGATAAAAGATCAAAATCCGAGCATTTCCGAAGAGTTCACGAAAACGTTTCTGAAATGGCCGCGTGATAGACTGGAGACTACGTGACGTCAATGTTGGTCTTTCAGGGCGGAAAAACGTTCTGCGCAAGCATCTACGCATCCCTTATCGCCTGCGTTTGTTTGTCTCGTTCTGTGAGAGTCCTGACTGAGACTGAATGAAATACACGAGGTGCGAACGTTTGCTCGTTGTAAAGGCTCTTTTTTTGCTTTTGTTGTTGTTGTTTTTTCGTCATTTGAAAATTACTTTGGATTCAGAACAACCAATGTTAGAGTAAAAAACAGATCATTCCGTCAGTCTGAGGTGGAATAAAACGTTTTGAACATTTCCAAACAGGTTTGTATTTTTCTGATAATTGTGGTCAATTGTGTATTCGATTTGTGAGTTGATTTTGTGTCCAGTGCTTCGCCTTCTTTCGCCGGGTTGAATTAAAACCTGCTTGTATTCTGTTATTAGAGGTTATCGTTACCTTTCTTCCATGCCCAGGTTTATTTACCTTTGCAGAACCAGCTTTATCCTTGTCTTCAGTCAAAGAACCGTAACGGCTAACGCATGCGAGTGAACAACCTTGTACGCTTTTAAGCTTTTAAGTTTGAAAAACTTTCATGGAACTTTAGAAGGCCAGCAAGCTTACTCGAGAAGAAAAGACTACTTCGATCATTTTTCTGTTGCTCAAGTAATAATAGTCAGAGTTTTAATCCTTTAGCTTTTTCACTTTTAATTACATAGTTTTGTTATCTTTCTGTACGCAAATTTTCGTTTCATTCGCAGTGAAGTAACGGAGAACGACAACTGCCGGCATGGCTTCGCTGCGAAGCTTGCAACTGATCTTTTGCTCTTAAGCTGAATTTTATGCATGATGGAATTGTTTTTTGCTTGTCGCATCTCTTTGCCAGCTTAAAGTGGCGTCTATGGTCCTTTAAGTGACCTCAATCGGTAATTAAATCTTATACATAATTGGAAAGAAGTTTTTGCAATAATGTAACTTTAACTTTGTTTGAAGGAAATCTTACTTACGCGCAGGTTTTTGACAGGTGTTATGCATGTTCAACTTGACAACACAAAGCAAAATTAATCTGCGCGAAACGATCACGTTTAAAAAACTATGGTTGCTTTGAAACCTTGGGGAAGATTTACTAGATAATGATTAACTCTTTTTCTGCCCACATATCAACGCGAAAACTTCTACATTGAGGATTTTGTTTATATTTTAGTGATTTGCGAAGCTAAAAGTGTCCGATCGAGCGTGGGTTTTAAAATATCAGCTCGAGTGCGACAAAGTTCAGTGACTTCAAACACATTGTGGACAAACTTGAATATCTCTGGGCAGATTATTATACCAAGATATTTTGTTTCTGTGTCCACGGTGGAGCTCCGGACCTTATATATCCAGGAACTTCCTTATATGAACACATTTTGTGAATGCATCTTGAAAAAAAATCGGACCTACGCACGCACATTCCCAGTACAACTCAAGGAAATTAGTAAATGTCGTTAAAGTCCGTTTTACTATGATGCATTCTTCGAGAAAATTAAATAATAAGAAGGTTATAACCACAGCTTGCAACTTTTGAAGACAAATTGCCTGTTCTTTCCAGGTTTACGGCTGCAAAAACCACTTCTGTGCCAAGTCGACTCGAAAAACTCTGTTTTGAATTTCCCGCTTTTTTCACCTGACCAACATTGACGTCACAAGCTGTTTTTTCCGACAATTTTTCCGACCGCTGTACGAAGATAAGGGCCAAAAAATAGCAATTTTTAATTGCAAATATCTCGGAAATACTTGTTTCAATTGAGCTGAAACTTCATAGTATGTTTATTTGGTTCATATTGAACACATTTCACTAGAATTGAACTAAAATAAAAAAGGTCAAAATTTTGGTTTATTTTGCCTTTAAGTTTCCCACAATTCAACTGCCCGGTGAAAAAATATATGAAAACAAGACTACCTCAGGTCAAGCCTGAATTTGATTACGCTTTCTTTTCGCAACTACGTAAGTTGCGTATTTACTGTAATGATCTCTGCATTCATCTCTTCACCCAGTAGTTTAGCAGTTCAATTTTATAAAATCAAGTTTGTATTAACTTAGACTGTAGTTCTAAGTTTTGAGTCTGTGGATAAAATCTTATGGTGTGACCATTCAAATGAAACCTCTTCAGCAGTAATTTCACATGGTACTATTTATTTAGTATGAAGTTCTAAAAAAAAAAAAACTTTATTTGAGTGTCAATGTATTTAGCACGAACGTGCTAATTGGGGATACTATATTTTACGTCTCCTAATGGACACGGGACCGCCATTTTACGTGGTCATCCGAGCCACGCGAAGGTCCAGCCGCCTGCAGGGCAAAGGAGGTACCTTCATTTCTCAGTTATTTGAAGACCCTGAGTATTGGTCCGGCCCCGGGAATTGAACCCGCGACCTTCCACTCTGCAGTCAAGCGGTCTACCGACTGAGCTAATCCTGCCTAAATGAAATCCTATGGTGTTACCGTTCAAATGCCAATTTCTTTAGCAGCACTTTCATATGGTGCTATTCACTTAGTATGTAGCTCTAACTTTTGAGTCTGTGGACCAGATCCTGTGCAGTGACTATTCAAATGATACTTCTTCAGTAGTACTTACACATAGTACTGTTTATCTGGTATATATTTGTAGTTATAATTTTGGAGTCTGGTACTATTTGTTTAGCACGTTAAGCTATAACTTTTGAGTCTTAAGATGAAATCCTATGGCTCCTTATTGCTCATTCAAAAGAAATCCTCTTAAGTGATCCTTTTCCATTTGTTTCTTTTTCTAATATTTCAGAGGTCAATTTGTGGTAGTTTGGAAAAGAAATCTCTTCTTCTTTTTTCTCTGTTTTTACTTCAGGCACTCTTTGGAGTGATATCGTTAAGGCTGCGTTCACACTATAGCGGATAGCTTTTCGTTGCGCCAGGAAAAGCTATCCGCTATCAATCCACTATCAGGGTTCTATATAGGATTTATCCTTTGGGGGAAACGTCCGGCAACGAGCGTCCTAGGGGGGCCGGGTGCATGCCCCCCACGGAAATTTTTTGAAATGAATATGCGCTGAGATGCAATCTGTTGCATTTTGAGACAAGATTTTGAGAAATGTTACAGTGTGTGCACTGCAGACCTCGTCGCGTCTGGATGATTTTTCAGATATAGTTACTTATATACTGTAATGATGACAATATTTTTTTTTGGGGGGGGGGAACTGGGCATTCTTGGTGGGAAGCTTCTACCCCTCAAATACCCTAGATAGAACCCTAGCTGTAGTGTTAGCATTGCCTTAGGTTCAGACATAGTTTGCAGTCTGAATCTAAAGACTATTTTATGATGACATTTCTATCAATGATTATGTGTATCAATGATTGACTTTACACAATTAAGCACCTTTAACAATCCCTGTCGAAACAAATCCTTTAATTTTGGATGCATGAAAAAGTTTTTTCCTCCACCGGCAACAGAAATGACAAGTTTGGGTAAATCTAACTTCCATTCCTCTTGTAAAAGGCGCAGAACATCCTCAGCATCAGTGTCATCAGAAATACGGATGAACTAACGAAAAAAGAAACAAAACCATGATAAGAACTAGCGAACATAAGATTTCATCAATCTGAAGCGAGTTTGCTGAAGCTTTACAGAGTTACATTTGCAGTCACTAAAACATATCGGATCGTCCTTAAAAACAGTCACCCGGGAACCTGGTTAATACAGACCGCCAAGGGGACATACCATGGTTTCGTCCATATTTATCGGGCTCAACGGTAAAACGTCACGGACAAATCTTGTACTGACGTAAATACTAAAGCAGACAAAAAGGAAAAAGTGACTTCAATAAGAAAGCCAAGGAAGTGAAACTTGTTTAGTGAGGCCGAAACTCTATTCAAGGGCTTCAGTACAAGGGTTAAACACTGTATTAACCCACGAAAGTCATAAAAAATACTCTTATATTTGGGTGTTTGTTATAAGGGGGTGTCCATAGAGCGGGGTTTTTAATAGCGGAGCTCCACGCGCGGCGCAAAGAGCCCCATAGCTAAGTAAATCTACCCATCCCAGAAAATTTGGTAATCACGTGACCGTACATCGACCGAGCGAGCGACCGTCCGATGTTTACTCTCGCTAGTTTGGGAGCCCAAGAGAAAACTAATTGCACATCAGTGTTGTGATCAATTGACAGCTGCCAAAACCGGGTATCCCCTGATCAGCATCACCTGACCGTACCGCGGGCTCAAGTGTCAACCCATCGAGGTCGAGTATTTTTTGACGTTATCTGCTGACAAATTACCAGTTTCAAATGATCGCAGACTCAAGTTTATGTTTTCCAATGATTCATATGAAATATGTTGTGTTTATGTCACTATGGCCCTGCACTGTTAGGATTTTGATTTCAAACTGACCTCGGATGCGAAAATTCAGTCAGTTTTTTTAAAAAAATACAGGCGGGAAAGATTTTTTCTTACCATAATCACGCGTTGGTCACGCTCTACGTCCAGTTTTTATGCTCTGATTGGTCAAATTGGACAGGTGAGTTCATGCGGAAAATTTATGCAGCATCTTGAAAATTGTTTTCTTTGACAGCTGAAGCTGACAGAGTTTTGTGTCAACTTATGACGTTTTTAACTGTCTTTTTCCACTGGATGTACAAAATGAAATACAGCAGCTATCAAGAGTCTTCTGTTATTCATGGCTGGTTTGTTTATTGGGTTTTTGGTTGAGAAATGCGTGGCTTGTCAAAATTCGGTAATCCGATTTCGGATTGCATCGTTTTCGCTTTTCACCTTGCTTAATGCGTAAGAGGGTTTAAAAGTCTCAAGCAACTGTGGCCTTCCTTGATAGCTTTCAGGAACTGAATCTCGAATGGTAAGCCTGAGTAATTATTGTATTTGATGTTTGTTTTTGTTATATCTAATTTCATGAAGTCGAGCACAGTTTATGCGGCAGGTTTACACGTTTGTAAGATTTGAGTCAATGATCTGACGTAGTATCATGTTTGATATAAGCTTACAAAACTTTAAAAGGCCTTCAGATATATTTTCTCACCGCAAATAGAAAGAAAACGTTGCGAAGAATATTTAGTTATAAATTTGGTTGTAGAAAGAAAACTTTGAGCGATTTTCTTGCTTAAAGGAGTTCATCTTTAATTTGAAAAAAGCCAACACCGGGAGGCCAGCTTAAAGTAAAACATAATTAGCAGTTAATGAATGAGGCTGAGTAGGATATGAAGAATTAAGCAGATCGAGGAGGGTGTTATCCACCGAGATCTGCTCAATTCTTCATATGCTACGAAAGCCGAATTCATTAATTGCTTTATTATTCATTCAAAATAATTCCAAGTTTAAAAACATGGCTGAAACATACTTACCTGCATCGATGTTAAATTCATCTTCGATAGTGTACGTTGAGGTTTGTCCAGTTCCGCAAGTTTTCTCCAAAGAGCAGATGTCGCCCCCCGAGTTGTCTTCTTGCTGTTTTTGCCATGTTTTTAGCGGAGCTCCCGCGCGCGCGAAGCGCGCGCGCAGCGGAGCACCATGGGTAAGAAAATTTGGTAAACTATCCATCCGAGAAAATTTGGTTATGACGTAGAGTACGCCCACCCGTACACACACTTCATGTAAGCCGATGTCAAATGTCACAATAGATCTTGCACAACTTGACTAGCCTCTTAGTTATGTAAGCCATCCGTATGAGTACGATTAGATTGACAGCTGTCAAAATCAGACATCCGCTGACAATTATCACATGACCATCTCGCGGGCTCAGATAAAAGACCAGTCGTTTTACCCCTATATATAAGCTGACATAATATGTCACACTTACCAATTCAACATAAAAACGAAACTACGCTGGGCAAGGCTGTCAGTTGACTGACAGTCGTTTAAAGTTACATTGGCAAGCCAAATTAAGTTCAATTGACAGCTGTCAAAATGGGACATGTGCAGACCACAATCAGAAAACTAGTAACGTGGGCTCAGGTTCGCTCAGGTACACGATCTGGCATTTTCCACTACATGCTGGACGGATATGTCCTACTCACACTTGTAGTCTGTTAATTCGAATATTCGCCATTCTAATGAAGGTTAATTGACAGCTGTCAAACTAGAGTATACGCTGACCATCATCACCTGAGTGGATCGCGGGCTCATTTTTCTATCCATTGAGGTCACGTAGTGTTTAAAGTTTTGCGCATATATTTTATTTGATCACAGGCTCAATTCGAAGCCCCATAGCTTTATAGAAAATCTGTCGATCCTAGAAAATTCGGCAAGCACATGACCGTACACCGACCACCCGACCTTCCGTCTGTCCGCACCACAGGTATACCAATGTTTCTGCTGACCAGTATCGCCTGACCGTATCGCGGGGTCAGGTATAGACCCTCTGAGTTCGAGTAATTTTTTGAAGGTATCCGCTGACAAGTTGCTACTTTTCAAATGATCGCAGGCTCAAGTTCAATTTTTTTAAAATGCATATGAAATAAGTCGTGTTCATGAGCCGCACTTTTAAAATGTTGATTTCGAACTGACCTCGGACACGAAAATTCAACCGGCTTTTACATTTAAATGCAGGGAAGGCAATCGCTTTTGACTTTTTTCACTGTCACGTGTTCATCACGCTCTACGTCCAATTTTTATGTTCTGATTGGTCAAAATTTGACAGGTGAGTTTATGGGGAAAATTCATGCAGCGTCTGGAAACTTGCTTACTGATAGCTGGAGCTGACAGAGTTTTGTGTCATCTTGTGATGTTTTAAACTGTCTTTTTCTACTTGGTGTACAAAATGAAATACAGCTGCTATCAACATTGTTCTGTAATTCGTGGCTGGTTTGCTTATTGCGCTTTTTGTTGACAAATGCACCGCTTGTTAAAGTCATTGGAAATCCGATTTCGGATGGCATCGTTTTAAAAAATGAGCTTACTCACTTGAGGCGTAAGAGGGTTGAAAAGTCTCAAGCGATTCTGGAACACTTGAAGACCTTCAGAAGCAGCATCTCGACTGGTAAGCCTGAGCAATTATTGTCTTTGATGTGTTTTTTTTTCGGTTTCCTGAAGTCGAGCGTATGGTTTATGCGGCTTAAGTTTATACACGAACAATTATCTAACCTACAATAGTATCAGGTTTAAAAAGCCTTTAGACACTTTTTGACCCTCAAATTCAAAGAAAAGGTTCCGAAGATTATTTAGTTATGATTTTGGCAGTAAACAGAAAGCTCTGGTGGATTTTCTTGCCTCGAGTTCATCTTGAAAAAGAGAAAACACCGGGAAGCCGGCTTAAAACATAAATAAGCTTATGCTTACCTGACTCATGATTTTCTGAGACACTTTACTCTCAATACTTCTCTTCGTGAATGAAAATTATTGTCTCTGTACATGTTTCACCGAATTAAATTTATTTTATTGATTGTTAGTAGTCCCTCTCGCAATTTTTATCGCTGCACCGGTTTTTTTTTTTAATTTCCAGTCGAACATAAACATCGCATGCAAGAATACTCAAAACGCCGCGCGTAAATATCACTCGCTTTTAAAGATTACACATAAAAAAAATCATGCACAGTTTAATGAATAAAGGGAAGTAAAACCTAAACATAACAATTTCTCTATCATGTTGAAGCGTGAATGGTAACTCTATTAATCGCACTGCGAATTTGGTGCCTGTCAAAAGTGAGAACCCGTCCGGCTGGCCGAAAAGTGATTTTGGGAATTTTTTTTTATCGTTTTCATTAAAAGCCCATAATTATTACCCTGCATCTCTAGGACCAGATTTTTCTAACTGAAAAGTCCCGGCATTATAGAATTCTTTTCATGAAAACGTTTTACAGTTCAATGCTATAATTTGTTGTGCAAACGAAGCGCGTGCTTTGATCGTCGTGGATATTGAATGAGTGCAAATTCTCTTGCAAAATTGTGAAAAACTGCAGAATTATAGGTTTAAATAGAGCAAAAAAGAACAAATTCTGTCCGAGGTCTGTATGATAAAAAAAGGGCCTCATAGTACTGTTTACCTGAGACGTGATGAGAAAAAGTACGTTTAAAAGGCTGGTTTACACGCCACCAGATTCGTCGCCAAGATTTACTAGTAAACTAAACTTGTCGAACACAAAAAATCCGGCCTGATTTTTTTATTTTGGCCTCCCTTTTAGACAGAGGAATGCAACTTGTAAATTGGCTGCCACCAAGGACTATCGTGGCGCGTGTGTTTCTTAAAATTATAATTCGAGGTTATCCAATTATCCATAGTCTCTCTAACGGAGCAATGTTGGTGAGACTAGTGAATGCCACATTATGATGCAACAGCTAATGCAAATACAATACACGAATAGGTCTATTTGTTTTCCAGGCCTAATCTACTGTGATTGAACGTGATTGCTATTTTTCGGTGTACAAATAAGACTATTTAATAACTCGACGTAAAATTTGTTGCACTCTTGGACGGTCAAATTCTGATTTTTCTCTAAAATCACTCCGCCTTTGCCTCAAAAGTCAAATGAATGTGCCCTGATCTGTGGATTACAATTGCAAGTTTATTGTTTGATTTAAATTATGAATTTATTAACGGGA